ACTATTCAAACCAGATATTGCGCTATAAGAGGGCATATACCAGTTTATATTTTATTGACAGCATTATTGCCCTTTGGCTATACAGTAGCTGTGATTGATCTACGCCTCATTCTTCAACATGCCTCAGTTCACCCTCAGCCTTCAGTATGTCATCATATCTGCTCTGTTATGTCCTGGAAAGTGCACATACATTTTTAGTGTACTTCTTGCCAAACTATGCGACATAAAGGGAGATTCATTAGACTGCCAGAGAGCTTTGACCCAGACCCCCTCACCATCAGTCAGCCTGCTATAGACGCAGCTCCACTAGTCCAGCTAGGAGCGAATGAGCCAATACTTCCCAACAGACGGACCCAGCCAAGCAACAATGCATTTATGAACATGATTATACACATGCTCGAGCACAGACAGAAAGGAAAACACACCACTCTGAAAAGAAATATCCCCTTCCCCCAGCAGCACCTTCACCTGGGCTCCAGTTTGCTCTTGTAAATGTCAATGTTTCCACAATCTTTACCCCTGCTTCAATTCTCCCCGGCCAGGGGTGCACTGACTAAGATCTCAATGCATCACAAATTGAATTGACGTGCTTTTTTTTTTTCACTCACTCTCTGAAACCACACCAACATTATTCGAATGTACCAAGGGGGAAAACACTGCTATAGTTGGGAGATGAAGCTTAGATAGAGAAGTCATATGGAGGAATTCACACTGTCTCCTTTGTTATTGAATGTGTGAGGCTGGACTTCATTTTAGCTCTGTTGGTGGGATATGATGAGTGTCTGTGTGCACAACGGTTTTTATTGTCAGGGGAGTAAATGTTGTCTTTCATAGACTATGTGACCAAGGACTTTGAGTGTGTGTGTCCATCTCCCCCTAGTGTTTTTGAGGAGTAAAACACTTACGTCATGTGAAAGACATACATCAGCATCAAAACTTAAATTTGAAGAAATGTTTTGTGCTAATAATTGTGGTGAAGGAATCCATGTATTTCCCATAATCTGAAAGCATATTAAGTGAAAGAAAAGATCTTTATTTCAGGGTGCTACCTGTGGTGTCTTCTGCCTGATGATCCTACTTTATGCCTTGTTCTTTTCCTTGGACCCTTCCTCCCTTCCCTTTTAACTCTTTGGCCCTTCCTTCCTCAGTTTTATAATGTCCTTCATTTCCTTGGTTTTGTCCTTCCTTCTTTTCATCTTTCCTCTTTTCCTTTCTTTTCTTTTCCTCTCCTTTTCTTTTTGTCTGTAATTCCTTTTTTTTTTGTTTCTTATTTTTGTCTCCTTCTTATTATTTTTTTGTGTCCCTCCCCTATTTCTTTGTCCTTGTCCTTTCAGTCTAGTATTTATTCCCTATTTAATTCATATTAACTGTAATATGTACAGTAGTAAGGTTTAGAATTTGTATTTGCATAGTTTTTTTTTATGTAATAATGACGGAGAAGCCACAACATGTTTGTAGTTTGTATTTAATACATGAAAAACATGGGAGAACCCTGAACCTATGCTTAGATTCTTAGATCTTAAAAAATATCTCAACCTTCTGCTCTGAAAATCCTACCCCTTCATCATATTTTTACTGTTTCTTTTCATCTACCAGGTTTCATCAGGGCTGCTGAAAATAAGAACCTCCACCCTCCTAACAAAGCGGGCAGTGTGCTCTGACCTGGCTCTCATTCTCACAGCTGACACGTATTCAGACAGGAGCTTTCAAACACTCACCTGACGCACGCACTTATCCTAGTGCATAAAAAGCTTGCGTCATGTCCTTCATGTATTTCTACATGAATGTGATTTCATTACTTTGCAAAGAAAAAAAAAAGAAATTAAGTCAACATGCTGGATAATGAATAAATTTTGTTTTTTGGCCTTCCATATAGAAAAGAGTAAACTAGAGGTTTTAAGACTGTGGAAAAACACACTGAAAGCTTCATTTGAGACTGGCTTTTACACCGGTCTAACTCTAAGGTTCAGACATAATTCAACAAAATTGTTTTAGGAAATTCTGTAAAACATATCGTATTCCTTATATCAATGAAAATTATATAGAGAGAAAAACATGGCTTATTTTTCTAAATTTTGTTTGCAGGCTTCCCTTTTGTAATTAAAGAACACTTTTCAATCATTTTCAAAGGGAAGTCCAAACAATACTCCCTGATACTGTTATTTTAGATAAATATTTTTCCAAACCATTGGATAACTCTTCTAAATCTTTCAATTAATCTGCAATGGCACAGCTCTTTGTGTATTTAACAGCAAAAGGGCACAAACAATGATGTGAGCTTCAGTTTAGCTGAAGAAGAGCTCAAAGCCTTGTAGGATCTACTGTTCTATGGCTGACCAGCTTTATTCAGGCTTTACATCACCAAGTGCAGAGCAAAGTATTGGATGCCGAGGTGTAGAGCTCTCAGCCACTGGACGCCAAGCAGTAGAGATGTGTTATCTGGAGTAATGAAACGTGCATTTTTGTGTGGTATTCCAGCGAACAGGTCTGGGTTTGACAGTTCCCAGGAGAACCACATTTGCCTGACTGCATGGTGTCAAGTGTAAAGTTAGCTGAAGGGTGAATTTTCTGTGCAGTGTTGAGCTCGAGCTCTTCGTAAGGATTAAGGGAATGCTTGAGCAAACTCTTCAGTTTAGATACGGACCCCTTCTGTTCCAAGGCTGTATTTTTTTAAAGTATCTGTTTTTGAATTTAAAGCAGCTAAATGTTATTATTTACTCTTAAGTTTATCTAAATAATTGTGCAGTCCAAAAACAAATAGTATTTCTGTCTTGATCCGTCCTTTCTAAGGTTGGCAGGGACATGTCCAGACATGACTATGGTGGTTAGCTTCTGTGTAACATGCCCTATGAATTATTTCTGTTATCAGATGATTGTTTTCTATTGGTATCTCAGACAGGAAATGAAGACGCATGAGAATGCACTCCAAATTTAAAGCACCACTTTAAAGAGGTGCTCTGTTTTCACCTCGCAATCTATAGCCCAACAACACAAAATTACCACTTCAGAATAGATTGAAATACCCAACTAATGTCCTCGTTTCCTCAGCTGTAGAGGTGTTGACAAGACAGATAAAGAATACTAGAAGATATAAACAGATTCTATTTTATTTTAGATAATCTAATAATCTTTGATTATCTTTGATTATTCTACCATATTCTGTTAAAATAACAAGCTGCTGTCATTTTGCACATCTATTTTTCAAATATCCATTACTGTAAAAATGTCCATATCTGTATATTGGTTATTTAATTCTCCAGGTGCACAGTATTTATTTGTTAAAACACTTTACAGTACAGTATTTCATTAGTTTATTTACTAACTCTTCACTATTATGTTATTTGTATACACTTATAATCTTTTTTGTCTTTTTATCTTTTTTGTTAACACTAGAATTTTCCCATTGTGGGACAATAAAGGGATTTTCTATTCTATTATATGTTTGAATATTTATTTTACATAAGAACATTTTGTTTGCTTATAAATACACATCAGAGAACTCTGGTAATAGTGTTCAAGCAATGTATCATTGGGATACATAGAGGACAATACTGCTGTTTTAAATGGTTGTCTAGAACTTTCTCTGTAAAAATTGCATATTTTTCCAGTATATGACCTAATCTTTTCAAAACCAAAAAAACAAAATAAAAACATGCTTGCTAAAGTAAGCTGGAGATTATAAACTGTCTTTAGCATACGGAGCCGGGGAAGCAGGGATACAATACACAGCATAACAGTATTTATATCTGAAAGACATATTTAACCCACATGGATTTCTGATTTTACATAGTTTGTCAATTTAGAGCAGATCCTGAAGAACAATTTCCTTCGATCTAGAATAGAAAGAGATAACTTCTCCAGAATGTAAATGTCCTGAGCCAGTCCTCAACTGTAGGTGCTTCAGTCTTAAACCTATTCTAGCGATTGTCTTAAAATACCCGCTTTTATCTGCATTCCATTCTTGAGACATAATTCAAACTGGCTATTAGTTTAAGATATTCTGCTTTGACATAAATGAAACTAAATGGTTCCCTCAAATTTAAGTGAGAAGTTCACCACTGAGCTGACTGAATGAACGTCAATAATCCCTCAGACCTTTCATCGGCATAAAACAAACCCAACATTTATCGTAGCTTATGACAGAAGTTGATCCCAAATGACAAGAGTAATACCAAAATTAACAAAAATGCTTCCAGGAATATTACACATCCTGTTGGTTTGGCTCAGGAAAAAAAAGTGGAGGTAGAGATCTGAATGCCTCTGCAGCTGGCATTGATGTTAAGGTCAGTGTGTTTTTATTTAGGAGGAATTATGCAAGCCAGAGTATTCTGCATCTTGTGTTGGAGTGTTTTGGCACGGAAACTGCAGTCCTCTGGCTTTGTTGTTTTCATCCTGCAGGTGTTATTGAGCCACACAGACTTCACTTCTTCCTGCGTGAGCATTTCAAAAGGCCCGTCAGATCTCAGACAAACACATCTCCTCTGCCTCCTACACGGTCTGACACAGGGCGCTCACAAGAACCATGTTAAAAACACAAATCAGTACGGGTTCAAGGACAGTTCGCTCGCTCATTAATACATCAGCCACCTTTTGATGGAGTCCTTTTCTCTGTATCCACTACTACTTCCATGTCCCTCTATTTGTTTTTAACTTATAATCGTTTGACAGCTGCACTGCTATTTTTTGACAAGAGGTGCTGTGCAGAGTCATGGTGCTGTTTTGAATACAGAAAAGACATCATTGTGGGTCTGGAGGTAAATAGGTCTAATTTCTCTCACTGTATGGCAAAAAAAAAAAAGCAACCCAGAAGGTCAAAAAAAAAAAAACACCCACAAACTTTTCTGTTTTGTATCAACAATTCTTTCAGGAACTGAGGAGCCTTCATCCTGTTTTTTTTTCTAAGCTCAAAGACTCCTATAAAAATTGCTTCAACCACTTAAATGTGAATAATAATCTTTTAATATGTGTAATCTGTGTGGTAAACCAATGTTTGTACATACGAGAGCTGTGTGAGGTCGGCAGCGTGGAGGTTCAGCCTTTGGGTCAGCCGCTCCATCAGGTCAGAGGCCCGGTCATTTGTGAGGGAGCTAAAAGAGACACCCAAATATTGTTAAAATGCATTTTTATTGATTTTTGTTTTTCTTCCAGGAAGATGCTGGAACATTTTATTCATGTAAAGAGGTCCTTGCACACACAAGCAAAAATGCATACTTGTCTGCAAAAAGATAAAAAAAAAAAAAAAAAAGAAGAGCACATTGCAGACAATCACAAATAAAAACACACACACACAAAAGCATTGCGTCGAGGGAAAAGGGATCAGCTGCCTCTCCAGGCTTTCTAAATCACCTGCTTTTTTCCAGCAATGAAACAAACAATAAGGTGCAAATGGAACCTGCATGAGGTGTAATGGCTGCATCATACAGACGCTCCTTTCTCTCCCTCTTCCTTCCCTCATCTTTCCCTTTCCTTTTGCACTGACATTTTTGCCAATCGTGCACACTCTGCTCCCTCAAAAAATATAGCACAGGACTCAAACACATGGGAGGCATGCACGCGCCTTCACGTTGAGATGAGAATAATAAGGTGCAAATGGAATGGAGGTGAAGTGTAATGGTGGTCTGATAAAGCCATGCTTCATCTCAGCTCAGTCCGTGGCTGTTTTCTCACTCGGAGGAAATAGACCAAACAAAGGCAATCTGCTGGACGGCTCGCTTCGTACACGGGAAATGAGGGGCGTATCCTCACAAGCTCTATCAGAAAAGCTACTCTTTTCTTCTGACGGCTTAACCAGGAATCTCTGGGGTTCGCTGGCAGGTGACTACAAGGTGACTTCCAGCAAGAGGTCATGGATTATGGTGAGGCATTCTTTAAATTGTGTCTCTGTTTCATATGATGGGAAAATGTGAAATAAACAGTAAAACAATTTCATGGAGGCCTGGGCATTGAGTGCAAGATCAGTCACTGCACAAAAATCTGTCCCCTCCCTTAAACTCTTTCACATTTTTTCCCACTGGAGCCACAAACGTCCAAGTATTGTATTCACATTTTAGAAGAAAGACTAACATAAAGTAGCATGGTATGCAGTTAAGTTCAATTATCTATACCTGTATATTTGTATAAGCAATATTTCCTGCAGACTAAACTACAAGTATATGAACTCTACAAACTTTGCACATTTAGAAACTGAAACTATTTGGACTTTGACTGGACCATTCCATTACATGGATATGCTATGATATTAACACTGCCAGCTCTGACTGTGTAGCCCTGCCTGGAGATTGTTTTTTCTGAGTTCCTTGCAACCTCAATGAGGTTTTCTTCAAGGATTTACCCATTTTTAGCCAAACGCATTTATAATTGTGCTGAAATAGAATCTCGCAATGACCTAATCCCTCAGTTGTGTTTCATTTGGGAGAAGGTATGTGAGCGATGATTTATCAAATCAAATCAGGCGGTAGTGTTTTCCACAGTCTGGGAGCAGCGACGGCAAAAGAACGATCGCCCAACTGTTTGAGTCTTGACCTAGGGACCTCTAGCAAAAGCTGACCCGAGGAGCAAAACCTCTGCCACAATTGCGGAAAGTTTAAATCTCAAACAAGTAGGAGGGGGCAAAGCCATGAATGGTGTTAAAAACAAACAGCAGAAGTTTAAAATCAATTCTAAAACGGACTGGAATTTATAATTGATTTATAAGTCGACTTCACAACTATATGCTGCTTTTTCTTTGTTATATGAAATATCTAAGGTATTCATGTAATATGAGAAAAACTGAAAAAAGTGTATAAAGTGTACAAAGGGTATAAATACTTTTGCAAACAACTGTATGTTGTGCATCCCTCGGTGTGTCAGATAATACCCATACAGTTTTTGTTTGGTCTGTGTTTGCACCACAGCAGCCCTTTATAGGGTTTATTTACAGTAAACTGTGCCTACAGTAGGTGGCAGATATTCTGTGCACTTAAAAGAGTGCAAAGTTCTTTCTTCTGCAATTTTTGAGGAGTTTTAGAAGTTAAAGCTCCGGCAAAGCAATTCTAGACACATCCCTAACCCTCTGCAGTAATTCGAGCAACTGGAGAGCTTCAGGAGTGACTTGGTTGTTGATGCTAGCACTTTTCCCCCTTGGGGTTTTCTTTCTCATTCTCATGAATCCATACCTTTCCCATCCCCCCTTCTCCAGTACCTCCACACATATCACCCTAATGCCTTCTCCTTCTGCATCACACCACCTACCCTCTTTCTACAACCGGCACAATGTCAAGCTGTTGGATAAGCATGTCTGTGTGGCCTCACTGCAGGGTTTGAAGAAGGGCATAACAACTGTGCGATCATGACATCTGCAGCAAATTCAGGGACACCTGTGTCCACTGTTGGCGGACTGCGGAGGAAGAAGGAAGTGAAGATTTTTCACTTAGAAGGTGACCTGTTTCTTTCCCAATATTCTGCAAGTTAATCTGCTCCTTCTATTCATATGGTATACAGCAAAAACAAATGGACTCGTAGTGGACCTTTACAAGGCTGGATACGTTGATCAGGTGAAGGACAACCCACTGACACTGGACTTGATAACACCATAAAGGGATTTGAGAGAGTGCCAGGGGCAAAGACAGAGTCGATAGAAACTTATCTCTGTCGGGAAGGAGTCGAGCCAGAGGTAAGAGAGAAGGAGAGGCAGAAACTTGGCTCCCCTTCCCAACAAAGTATCATCATTAAGGCTGTAATGCTGCACAGTAATGCTCTGGCGCTGAGGGATTTATCATCTCTGCTATTGTAATCAGTTACAGCACACACAATAGAGTCCAACCCACAGCATCCCTTTCTATAAAGATCGGAATATGTAGGTGGGTTGACAGAAACTGAGCTTTTTCAGGCTATGTACTGTAGGTGAACGAAGCAGACATGTCTGCTGCTGAATGAGTGTTCTTGAAGTCCATTAGTACTCCAGAAACAAAACATCACTGCACGAAGAAGGATTCTACTATAGAGTCAAACCAGGTAGTATATGGAGTAGGGAATAGAGGTGATGGTGCTGTTTTTTTTTTTTTTTTATTCTTTCATTTTACATAATAGCTGATTTAATTTGTAAGTAGAGCAACAAAGAGTCGGGAGAAAATGTGTTTTAGTCAAACCGTATACACTGTGCAATTTTTTCAATCGTTGTACGCAACCACTGCTCACACTGCACAACAAAACCACAGGGTTTAGCCGAACAGTGTGAGTTCACAGCTCACGATTTATGTTCAGCCCAACGCTCTGATGCGATCTAGCTTCTCACACTGTACGACTAAAAACCACATCAGACTTAGCTCCGCAGTGAGATGGAGCTGCTCTGACTCGTCTATCCTGAAGCCAAACAACTAGAAGGGGAATATTAAACTCACAAGAGTAAAATGTGCTGCCTTGGCAATCTGTGCAAGTTTGTGCTGAAAGCCCTAAGCCCTGAAAGCCCCTACATGGCTTAGCAAACGTGGCTCCTACAGTCTTTCAATTTTACAGAAAGAACTCCATTTCACTCATTGCATCCCCGCCATGGTTCTGTGTTTACATCTGAGATGAAGAAGAAAAAGAGGAAGCCTTGTTTACGCATGCCCACTGAGAGATTTGCCCATGACGGTTCGGGACCTCACAATTCCTGATTGGGAGGTGGTTGTGAGAGGCTGATCATCCCTCGTAACCCCCTGTACACTACACAACGCACCATCAGGCTGAAAGTCGGCCCGATCAAAAAATTCTCGCACGACTTGAAAATTCGCCTTAAATGATTCTAGTTTATCGAAAATACATTTATTTTTCATGCAAGATGTACATTTATGCCTATTTTATTACTCTAACCTCTGAAATTACTATAGCACTCAGTGTAAAGAGTAATTATTTCTTGACATTTTCATGGATCAGTAACAGTTTTGTAAAATAATATAAAATGTATAAATAAAATTAGACAAAAAACAGAACATGGGATTAGTTCCCAATTTTGTTTAATTTACCACAAACTTGTCCAGCAACAAATAACAACAGGGAAGCAACAAATAACTGGCAAAACCAGTAATCCAACTATGAACTTAAGACAATAAAGCCTATTTTACCCGAGATTAGGAAAGCTCTGGAACATAGAGGAAAACAATCTATGTAAAAACGGTGGAATTGGGCTTTCCATTCAGTACAGTGGAGTGAAGTAGTTCTCCAAATGTTTTAAAAACACAAAATAAAGTTTCATATGGAAGGGATGATGCCAGGATATCAAGGATTGCAATGAGCTTTTAAAGGTGGACAAGCCATTGTGTCCAGATGCCAAGGCTACAAGTTCTTCTCACCTACAAGGATTGTTGGTATTATAATGCTCTTGGCTGCACACCATAGTAGCTTTGGCTGCAACAACAGCAAAAAAATAATAATTTTGGAAGCTGCAATGAAGAGTTTACACTCTACATCCCAACACTGAGCAACACTGAGCCTCTTGGCATGGATAGAAATCAGTACTGCTGTCCCCACTAGAATAGGGCTTGAGGAAGTTTTTATCTTGAGTTATTTTTCCAGCTGGCAAGAAGTGCTTTAGCTAGAATAGGAGCCCATAAGAAACCTCTAGGTTCAATATTAACTTGACAGTAATTGCAGTCAGATTGATTTTTAAAAAAACAACGCATTCTGATTTCAGAGAGTAAGTAATCAATTCAGTGATTAACCAAGAAACATATACTTTTTACGATTATCACATACTGCTCTTATGTACATACTAAGAACTGCCCCAAATTAAAATCATTCTTTAAAAGTGCATGTCTGACCCTCACCTTTCATATACAAATTGGTTAGATTTTAAATAATGTTGCATCAGTTCAGTCTCCATTACTGAAACAAGGCTTTTTACACATTGGTTTGGTCCATGTGATGTCAAAGGATTATGATGGCAGTGGAGCCTTTAGAGTGATCTGATATTGTTTAGTAACAGTCTGGTTAAACAGGCACTCTTAGTAAGCTAATAAAAACATACAAATGTGTATAAAAAAGCATCTATAATGCCATGAAGAACCAAAACTTTCTTTAGTTCTGATTCAAAACAAACAAAACAAAAAACATTTCTAAACAACACAAGTTATGATTATGAACCACTAATGATAACTTAGCGAACAGGATCCTTTTGCTCTTTAGCACCAGCAGCCTTGATTCAATGTTTTTCTATTAATTTTGCTAAAGTAAAGGATAACACAAAGCAGATAAAGGAAATGAAGGAATAATCATCGCTTAAAATTGTCCAAGCTTCTCGACTTCCCTATTTTTTACCAGTTCCACAGGATATGCTGTCATTGCCATGTACAAGGAGTGAGTAAAAAAATCAAGCGAAGAACAAGAAAATCTAATATATTGGAAGGAAATAGATTAGTGTTGACTTAAAGCCTTTGTGCATCCCATTATTTTACATTAAACTAGACTTATCAAAGTTCAGTCCAATTTCACACAAACTGATATGGGTCATCTATAAATAGTAGTTTATATTAAATCGCATAAAATTAAGACACTGCATTGTATCTTCTTTACAATGAAACTCACTCTGAGTTGGTGATGATGTAGCCAAAATGTCTGTCCTTCCCTCTGCTGGAAAACTCCTTCAGTCCCACGTGGACCAGCTGGGTTTTAATCTTTACATCCTTTTTCTGAGCCTCCTCTGGCTGTACAACCGTCACGGGTTTCTGATCCCCCTGCATCCACCTCTGGATCTCAGAGTCCACCCTCCCCTCTGGCCCCTCCACTCCGCCACTCAACCGCAGGGTGGACCCTTCCTTTGCTGGGACGGTGACAATCTTCTCTTCTGAGCGGAAGGGGGCAGGAACTTGGCCCTGTTTCGTTATGCTATGGACGCTCTCCAGTCCAACCATTTTTTGGAGAGGAGCACGTGGCCCACTCTTGACCCCTGGAGCATCACCAAAGGGCTCCATGTTGAGGTAGTCTAGCAGCTTGGAAAATATGGCCGTATGCTGTTTTGAAAATGAGAATTTGACATTTATAATCAAGATTATTTCAATTAATCCCCTGGAGATATTTTATGAATTAAACAAAGTCAATCATTAAGATATATAAACTGGTGTTTATATTTTGTATTTTCAACATGGATTAAAAAAGATGGGATGTTTTTTTAAATAAACAATGATAAAGCAGCTATTTAGTGGTTTCACCTTAAATTCAAACTAAAGATCTGCAACAAATAGTGAAGAAAAATCAAAGATTATGCTGAGATCTGTCTCTCAAGTTCCAATAATTCAACTTTTCAAATCCTTACTTTGAAGCGGCAGGTATGAGTAAATAAAACTGAATCGTGGACATCTCATTCCCAAAGAAACCAATTTGTTTTACAGCAAAGTAATTTATAATTCACCTTGTCAGTGGACTCTTTGTCTGCACCGTCTATCCGTTGGCCTGGAAACAAACACACTGTATGTGAGAGGATTGTACAGAAACAGAGGTTCCTCCTTTGTGTTCAGAAGAGAAAAACAAGTTATGACACAAAACTGAAAAGTGAGAAATATACTTGGCAGGATTTTATATGAAGCTTATATGAACAAAGCCTTGCTATAGTATTTATTAGCAAACAATGCTTGGTACCCTGACTTCACTTACACAGCTCTCTAAATGCTGCCCTTCTTTTTCTCTTTTACAGCAGCACAAAAACCCACCTTGTTTTAATTTGAGAGCTCCTTTTGGATTTAGTTCTGGCAATTTAAGATCCTGGTCTTGATTCAGAAGGCTTCCTGATGGTGGTTGCTTGTTAACCCTCATCTCCCCCCTGGAGTTACCAGCTCCAGGTACTGGCCCGGCCCCATCAGTAAGCCTCTCCTCATCCACCTCCTGCAGAGCTCCGGTGATGACCTCAGCCAGCTGGTCCAGGTCTTTCCCCATCAAAGCCTCCATGTTAAGGCTATGGCTCCCCAAGTGGTTCACTGTATTGAGGATGAGATGATCTGGACACACACAAAAAAAGAGAATCAATATAAAAAATAAAGGAAATAAACTGAATATTTCTATATTAAAGTTTGATTGATCATACAAAACATAAGTTAATTTCCTAAAGATTTTCCTGCTAACAACAAAGGATCAAAGCAGTGTCTGCCTGAAATGTATAAATAAATCTTTGGTAAAATTCAGACACAGTAAACGTTCTTTTGAATGCTGCATCTTCACCAGTCACCTTTTTGTAGCTATTAAAAAGCTTCTGGCATTATTTAAACTAGCAGGTTTCCTTGCACAGACTGGGCTTTATAGGTTTAGTGGAGGATGTTTTATTTCCGGGTGGATCATCTAAATAAATGGTCCTCCTAATTATTAGATCCTCCTAAAAATTATCAGTCATTCTGCTATGTTTACATACGTTAGGCTGTCCTACGTAATTGTCCCCATTTTCTGGTGGTAAGTCTGACAGTGGAAAAATTGCAAATCTTCTTTTGGAAGGTAAGCTTGTATGAGTGATGCAAAGAAGCAACTTTTAAACAGCGTGCATGAGGAAAAATGGGCTTATGCATGCTGTCACATTGGCCAGATAGCAGTAGGAGTTAGTTTAGCTTGACAGACCGTTAGCACTATGTTGCTATGGTTAGTTTCTCAATTTAGTTAGTGTTGGTCAGGGTGATTGCAGAAGCTTATTAGTCTTATTTCATACTTTTAAACTAGTTTGGATTGGATATTTGGTGGAAAATCTTGTCATGTCTTGGCATTATGCATCTGATTCAGACTATAAACAAGAGAGGAAAGGATATTAATCAGCATGATCAGGCAAAACAAATGCATAAAACACAAAGGAACACCAGTAATATTGCCTACAGAGAAGCCAACATAGAGAGGTCTTTTTTTTTTTTTTTATCAATGCCTCTAAAAACAATAAAAAGAAAATGTCAGATGCACACACTGAAAACACGTGTCTTCTGTAGAAATGTTTGTGGTCAGAGATTTTGTAACACACATTTCCTTTTTCACACCCCCCAGAAGTATGTTTGGAGTAGTCAATGTGAATCGTATGTCTACTTTCAAGAAGAATCATGATGATCATTTATTTCATCACAAGTGTAGGTTGTGCATTGTACAAGCGGAATCAAATGATACAAAGACAGAATCTATATAGCCCCTTTTAGTCATACACCCTTTAAGTGCTTGACACGAATGGGAAAACATTTATACACCGTGGACATGCAGCTAAATAGTCACCTTTTGATCCAAACTAGAAGATAATCAGTTCAGGTACACATACATGAATCTTTTAGAATAGCCTGGATTTCAACGGCATTCTACATCCTTTGAAAGTACATATAAACTGGAACTTTGCCATAAAAACAGACAAATATCTCAAAAGTGTTTTGAAAAGAAATTTTTTTGGTTGTTTCTTTTTTTATGTCAGGAAACTGGGTCATGGCCACATAAACGTGGTTTCCCTGCAATCTGCTAAGGATGACTTAAACAAATATTTATAAAATAAATATGCATGATTCTGATCTGGGGTGTACAGTATTTCAGAAAATCTGCAAAATTCAAACTAAAACACAATATTCATGCTTTAATAAATGCACTAAAATAGTAACATATAATCAAACCTATAATTCAAACCTGGATTAAAAATGGGTGTAAAATGTTATTAATGGACCAAATTTGGTGTAATGTTCATCAAGATTTATAAATTTTTAGAGTGTACACATTTCTAATAAGGGCTTCAATTGTTTTGAATGAATCAAAAACAGTGAACAAGCAAATATGAATGATAATCTAAAACTAAAAAAGAAAAATCTGTATACAAACACTGCAAAACAGCTGCACCTACCATCCATGACGCTATGAGGGCTTTTTGAAAGGAGCTGATTTGAGCCAGCCTTGAAGAGCAGTCTGTCAAGATTAGGCTTTGCAGGGTTGGAGCCAAAAGCAATCTGTGGGTCTGCACGATTGCTCTGAGCAGGCTGCAGGTAGCTGAGGTAGTGGAGTTTCCCCTTTGGCCATACAGGCTCTCCACCAGTAAAGCCCTGCTGAGTACCGGATGCCCCTGGAAGAAGCTGCTGCACATGGTTGGAGAGGAGCTTACTCCTGTCAGGTTCATGGCTTGAGTAGCCTGTACTGAGCTTGGGGTGTCTGCCATCTCCACTCTTGGTAATGACTTTGGTGACTGGAGGTTGGCCAGCTCCTTTCTGGAGGCTGTAGATTGTGGTCTCCTTCCAGCCTTGATTTGGCTTTAGCTGGCTGGTCTTTTTCGGGGCATCAGGTGTGATATCTTGATTCTGCAACACATTTGAGAAGTTTTAACAATGTTTTTGATAAATCTATTGGATGTATTGTCAAAATGTTTATTTGAAAATCTGACGGTGTAAATAACACAAGTAATATCCTTATCTGATGCAAAGTTTTCAGTCCATAGCTATCTAATCTATTTCTTGAATTTAGTTTTAGTGACCATCTGTAAAACTTTGCTATATTTTTATTTATTTATACTTATTTAAAGCAACAGGAGTATGTTGGCTTTTGTGTAACAAGCTGCGAGAGACAGTGTGTTTTAATATCACATTTGTCATTGTTCTGAGTTTTGAAGGCTTTACAAATTTTAATGTTTAATTATCATTACCACAAACACAAGGACGTTCTTCAAGTTTCTTGAGTTTATAACAACATTGTATTAATTTTTTTAGGGTGATACTTGTTTGCTAATAGCATCTTACTAAGGTAAGGTTTTAAGCTTTAGCATTAGGAGCTGCAGAGCTATACAATAGTTCATTTTCACATACTGTAGGCTGATATTTTGACCTTTTTCCTGAAGTGCTTAACTGGCTGAACTTTAAGATGACAAGCTAAGACTTTTCCCCTTCACTTGGGGTGGTAAAGTGAAAATATTTGTGACTTGTTACCAATTTAAGGTTTTGCTTTTTAACCTTTTGCATAACATGCAAAAGGGATAAATAATATAAGTAGTAGTTTACCTAGGGTGACCACAGTGAGATTAGCAAAAGCAAAAAAATTAAATAAAAAAAACACAAATTCTGGTCTTAATATTTTTTCATGAAATTTGACTAGTTGAAGAACAGTTATGGTTTTAACATATTATGAGTTTGCATTCTCTGTGTTTAGAAAGAATAGTTTAAAAAAGCAAACTATTCAGATACGCTATGACATGACAACTATAAAAATGACTCTTCTGTTTTGGAAAATTAATCCGTAGTAATAGTATCTAATTGTTTTAAGAAATACTTGAAAGGTTAAAAAAAATGTTGTACAATTATAAAAATAATTATTCAACTTTTTCAGTTTATTAATAAAAACTGTCAGTGTCACAAATATTTTATCAAACAAAAATGTGTGTGATCCAGTCTTTAGCTTTCTTATAGTAAATATTAAAGCATTAAAGCCGTGATTGGTTGAATTGAGTTGGTGTGATAAGTTAAATGTATTCACAGGAAATTGTGCTAATAAAATCCAAATATTTAGATATTTAGACATGTATAGGTGACAAAAAGTTATTTGGTTGCCCTCATGTTACCACAAAAAGCCAAGATCATTGTCCTTAGTATTAAACTGTAAAGTGATTTCTACTATTCTGGGCTGATAGATAAAGGATATAGAGAGCAGTTCACTTTGTGAAGGTAAGATGTTGACTTGTGCTTTACTAATTGTCCCATTTGAAATACTATCAGCGTTATATTTCCATGCAAACCTTTGATTTAAAGTGTCTCTTGATTATATGCTAAATAATTTCAAAATTGAGCTATAATTTATGACATAATTACCAGGTGTTAATATAGAAAATAATATTCGATAACATGTACCTTGCCAAGTAAAGATTTTGAATAGGAATATTGTAAACCTTAAGCTCTTTATTTTTTTGCATTTTTCCTGAAGAGCTGATGTGGGAACGTTCACAGGATAAATTTTTTCAACTTGGCCTGGGCTCTTCAATAACTATTTAGCCCGACAAGAACATCAAATAAGCTGCAGCGGGGGTCAGAGCTGATGTGACAAGCTTCAGAATAAGAAGAGAAGCAACCTGGGCTCCACCAGACAGGACAGGATATGAATAGGGATTCTAGATCAAAGACAACTGCCCTTGGAAATTGCATTATGGAAATCCCAGATGAGATAGTGTCACTCAAATAGTAATTTCATGCATTTCCACAACACACCACAAACTTTAAAAGCATATCCTCCCACTCAAAAATTTTACAGCAAACCCTTATCTAAATGGGGGATAAAATGATTTCAAAGTTACCCATATGAGTTTATATTTCACAAAAGATGAAATATGTATTTGCATTACAATGTGCTGCTACGTACACAGACATTTAGAGGTCTTTTTAACCATTTGGCAATGGAGATGGAGTTGATACTGGCACCAAACTGTGCGATTTTGTCTTTTCTTCTCTTTTGTCATTTTGTACTGTGAGGAAGGGGAATCATTCTTTCCATCTGAGTCATACGGGCCCACGCACACAGCATACAGTACATCTGATGCACTGAAAGGCATTATTATCCATGTCACTGCAACACCAATACTAGCTCTCTCCCTTGGTGCCATTTTCTGCCTTTCAAATGTATACAGAGAAAATGTCAGTCTTTCTACTGCCAGCATACAGAAAGACCCATAATGGCATTAGCGCAGCAAGACGGAGGTGCTCTGCCATTCATGCTAACCATGTTTGCCTCTTTCAATCACACCACACAACAAAGGCCTTCGTTCCATCAATAAGGAAGGTCCTGAACTCTTTAACTTTGCATTATGGATGCAGTGACACTGCAGCTCACTTATGAGAGATTCCAGGCACATCTTGGACAAAGCGGGATGTCCACCCTAAATATGATAGTTGAATAATGTAAAGGGGTGATAGAGGACCTTTGTGTAAGAAGGGTCCCCACTCAGTGGGAGAGAGGGGGCCAGAAAGCAAGAAACAAAAGCAAAGCAGGGACAAGGGGGCAGATGTAAAAGACAAAAAATGACTCCTCTGCAAAAGGGTTATTATAGGAAGATATCCTCTCTGACCATATCATTAGAGAAAGATTGTGTAGTTTTTATGGGGACTTTATAGAGTATATAGAGTTTATAGAGATTTATAGCCCTTTGCAAAAGTATTCAAACCCACATTTTGTCAAAATATGACAATACATTTCTGATGTATTTTATTTAATGCCTTGCACGCAGTTGTATTTAGGAGTCCATATTTAGCAGGTAGTGAGTCATTTTACTATGTTTAATAAAAGCAGAGTAAAAGACTTTATGTACTAAAAAACATGTAAAAAGGCATTTAGCCTATTCCATGTTTAACTTATATGTTTGAAACCATATCCTTTCAAATTTCAATACAGTGATCTAGAAAATGTGTTGATTTTGAAGTCTGTGAGCAGATCAAATATATTTTAAGTCTTATTTTAGGTTTTTACTTTTCCTATTTATCACAGGTATTTATTTCCTTCACAGAGTTAAAATCTCACCTGATTTACTGGTTGGTTTCCATTTGTGTCAGCCTGCGGCATGAAGCCCAACCCTGTAAGATACGCCTGAAGGTTTCTGCTCAGCTCTGTCTGTGTTAGACTCGGCTTCCTGTTTCTGGGGTTGCTGTAGGCCATCAGATGGCTCAGAGGTGGACTCTGCTGGCGTAAAGGGATGGTCCTCAGTTTGGAGAGTTCTCTGGAGATGACCTGCTGAGTAATGTCGTCCTGCCATGTCAGTCCTGCAGAGAAGTTAAGAGGAAATTGGTTCAATGATAGATAAATCCCAGCTGTTTAGTTCCTAAGAACATAAAAAACTATTGAACACTTCAAATACGAATAATATGTAAAAATAAGTAAATAATAATAATTATTCTGTATATATCTTAAAATGTATTAATGTCAGAATCAGAACTAACTTTAATGGCAAAGTTTCCTGGGCACAGACTTGTCTTCAGTGTTCTGTCACTTACATTATAATCAATAGTAGAAACAACAACCTGCCTCTGTAAAAAACAAGTTTAATGGGGCAATAACATTATAGACAAGTGTATATTTGTGTAAATAAATTTAATAAAAAAGGAACAAAGAGTGAGGTAGTGAATAGGATTTTGTGTCAGACTAGCCTGGTTGTTCATTGAGCTTAACAGACAGACAGCCTGAGGAAAGACGCGCCTCTGTGGTGGTTTGTTTTTGCCATTAGCACTCTGAAGCACATCCTTGAAGGTAAGAGTTTTTTAACGGCCTATGGCAAGGAAGTGTGGGGTCGGCAGAGATGATAGTTAATGTGAATAGTTTACTGTTAAAAATCAAACGGTGGTAATGTTAAAGACTAAATGTTGTGGATGACAGTTACCTATGTAGCCCAAAACCTCCTAACCTCTAAAAGAATATATGAGGAAATCTCTTTTAATAGAAACTGGCATATTTAGCTGGCTGGATAAGATGGAGTACTAGAATGGAGGTAATAATGATGATATAAATCTAAAAGAATATATAACAATAATAATGGTAATAATTATCATTATTTACAGTGACCTTTGCATTGGCATCTTAAATTACCACTAAAAAAGTAAAATAAATAAGTTAGCAGAAATGTGTTTAAAATGAAAGGTAATAGCCCAGTAATAAACCTAAATGCTTGTCTATCCCCACCCATCCGACAGAGAAGGAGACACAGTCCCCAAATACAGCATCCCCTAATAAGTTTCTGTTTTGAAAATGACTTAGCAAGTAGTACCTATCTTATTTGAACATCTTTCATCAATAATTGTGTGCAGTTTAGTCATTAGAACATGCATTTCAATGAAGGCAAAAATGCAGCAAGTTTGCATGTGCTTCCTGCTGAACTGTTCATGCAAACCCATATACAGTACAACATGTTTGAAGATCTCCTCTCTCTGTGCAAAGAGGTTTGCATGCTTTTCCAAAATTGGAAAGCTTGATGAAGCTAAATGTGTGCATGCATGACTGTTTGTTCTTTGGGTCTTTCTTTTAACCTTGTAAGGAACTGGTGACCAATCTTGGTTGGACCCAATGAGCAGCCCAATATTAAGCCAGTTTAGAAAGTAGATAGATACTCTTAAAATGCCCTACATGCATACAGGTGTGAGAACAGAAGCTATTTAATACAGACACAACATCTCAGAGTATAACTGATAGAAGGCTTAAGAATGCAGAATAATACTTAGTCATAACCCTAATAACATATTTAGCTTGATTGATTCTTTGATCACTTATTAAATGACTTTATTCTTTTTATGCCATATAAATTTTTATTTTTTGTATCATTTTGAAATAATTTTGGACTTCTCTTATTAGCCCCTTTAATCTTGTTGAATTGTTTCATTCTGACATGGCTTTGACTTTGGTCCTCAACATACAGTACACAGAGCATGCCATAAAACAGTTTAAAAACTCACAGTAAAGGAGAAAAGATAGATACAACAACCATTCAACAGACCCGAGGAGAATGCTGTTCTGCAGCCTCAATGCCTTTCCAACATCTCTGCTAATTGCCAACACATAGCTGTGATGCAGAACTCCTGGGCAGGGGCGAAGCACAGCAGTGCCAGGACCAGATGGTGCTACCCAAGCAAAGCAGACACCAAAAATGTGGCTCTTTTCCCAACATGCCAAGAGGCACCGAATTCCATCAGCAAAGCGGATCAACATACCTTAGATGATATACTTCTCATCAGTGCCAAGATACCCACTGATGGCACTTCAGTTGCAGTACAAAAGCATTTTAATGAGAAACAACTAAATCCACAGCAGCAAAGATTAATGCTTATGTACAGGAGTCCTCTAAACAACACTGCATCTGTTAATGACGTAGACATGTTTAATATCAATGAACTAAGAAGTCACTGTAGAAATATGAAACATTAAGGTATTAACGCTGCAGAATGTCTTCATTAGCCTTGTTTCTCGCCCACACAAGATATTTTCAAAGGCATTCATGAGCACAGATGAGGATCTGAGTGCTAAAGAGGAGCCACACATGCCTCCAGTCATTCTTGGCAGCGCTGAACAGAGCACAAAGCAGCGTATGTTGTCACCGTTCTGGAACGCAGCTCAGCCATCCATCCATACAACAATGACAGTTAACTACCTATGGCTTACCCGATGTGGGGCCGACTGACTATACGTTGCCACAGTGATGATCATTTACGCTATTAACAGCGTCAATGGGGATCTCAGGGCTGGTGTTCCATATGCTACCTGCAGTTTACTGCAGCTGGTTAAATGTTTTCAGAGTAAATGTGTTATTGCATCCCAAACAGGGTGAGACTAGCTTCATTGCCTGTGACACCTCTATCCCTTCATCTCCTGGGGAATGCACTCATTTCTGTATATTCCAGAGGTTTTTTTCTGAGCCTCTGATGGGCACTCATAAGATGGAAAGGTATATTCAGACACAAATTACAGTGCCAGAACACGTCATTTTGTACAGCAAAGAAAGCCAATGAGAACTGAGGCTTTTATGGTTGGATTCCTCTCAATGGACCTCTAGGCTGATTAACCTGGCACAGAAGAGTTAAATGTCATGCAATATCCTCAATAAGTCCACAGTCAGAGCAGACTTCCTTGTCAAGTGCTGCCACTTTCTGCCTGTTAACAGTAGCATCCCAGCTCGGGTAAACGCCTCAGTTAATTAACGCCTTGCCATTAGCACAACAGCTTTCAAACAAGCATGATATTTCAGTTGGCCTCCTGTTTTCTGTATGACAGGGAGGATGGGGGGTGGCTCTCCTACATATTCAAAGCCTATTAGATGATATCCTCTCTACATGTCTTCTTGCTTCATCTGGTGTTTTTGAAATGCAGATTTCCCCCTTTCCTTGCTTCTGTCCACCAACTGATTTTAAATGCATTAATTGAAAAGACTGTGAATAATTTAGCAGTCAGTTGTGCCTAATTAGTCAAAATGAAATGTGTCACTCCCAGTTTGACAAATGAAACAGCAAAAATACAAAGCTTTCACTTTATTCTTTGGTGTTCAATATATAAGAAAGGAAATTTTACTGTGTCAAGTATTTCAAAAGCATAATCTTTTTTATTTAAAATCCATATTATATATCCAATTATAATTATTTAAAAATATGTGAATCATGGGCAAACAAAATAAGTTAATTTTTTATGACTAATCCCTGTATGAAATGTGAGGAAGTTATGCTAATTGTTTTGTTATTAAGGACATGTCGGTCTAATAAAATCCATGTTTCAATTTAATTTCCAATAACACTCATCCAGTGACAGATTGATATTCACAGCTATGTTTTTTCACATTTTCAGAACTATCTGTAAGAACTTCGAAACTTTGGAGACTCATGTTTACTAGGTTTGCTATTCTATCATTTAGAGTGTGCTACTATACGGTGTTTCAATGCATATAATGTGTGGTTTGAAAATGCATTACTAAAATGAATGCATGAAGCACAAATGTGTTGTTTGGTATACTTATGACATTTAAAAGTTTAAAATGTGACTATACTAATTTATTATGTAATAATAATATTAGTAAATAAAGATATTAAAGACATTTTTCCCTTTTGCAGAAAAAATAATGCAGTTCTCGTGTATTTTCAATATATCCATACATGTCTTACGGACTAGTTCAATATTAAATGGACAATAAATTGTTCCAAAATAGCACAAAATAACCATGACCTTTCCCTTCGACTTAACTGCCAAGGTTAGAAACATATTTTCTTGAGTGTAGGTAAAAAAAATCGCCCAAGATTTACTTTTAGGCAGTACTGTTATTCAGGATTTTCAAAAAAAAAAGAAGTACTGTAAGAACAAATATGATGCTACATAAAATACAGAGTTTTATTCTGATCTCTATTTGTCTGATCTTTAAAGCTGGAAAATAAGTGGTGCTAAATTACACGTTCATTTTTTTTATCAGGTCCAATAAGTGGGCCCATCAAAGATGATTCATCAAGATTGCTGCACAAATCTTATGATGATTTTTTTCTACCCATTAGATTTGCAGATTGCACATTCTACCGGCAGTTTGAAAGTCACCATAAAAGGAAGATGAGGTTCTGAGCGATGTAGATGGAGGTTATAATGAATATTAAAAAAAAAAAACCTATGATAAGAATAAATAATATCTATAGTGCAACACATAGCTACCAACCATGCCAACCTCTAAACGTTTTTTTTTTCTTTTTTTTAGATAAATATTACTCTACTACAGTTATCTCTGACAGTCCAAAAAATTTGCATGTGCAGTTTGTGTAGGTTGTGTTTTTGTGTTTTTTCCCTCCACCACCAGGTGGCACCTGGTTCTCGTTGGCCTCCTCACACACCTATGGAGGGTTACCTCATTACCGGAGGACTCTTAAGCTGCTGACTGCCACTACCTCGACGCCAGAGTGTTTGCTAGTTTTGGGTACTCTAGCCAAGCTGAGTTTTGCTGAGTCAAACATAGTTTTTGTCAACCTGAGTCTTAGCCTTGTGTTTTTGTCTTTGCCTCTCTGCAGGAAGTCATCCTGCATACTGGATGTTTTGGACCTTCTCCCCCTGGAAGGATCGTCTGAGCTTCAACTGAGCTGGTGATTCAAACTGGAGGTTTGGATCTACTTTTCCCCAAAGGATTGTTTGAGCTTCACACTGAGCAGGCGATACATCTCCACAAGAAAGTGTTCAATTACCATAGGAAATCTAAGTGGCAGTAAGCTCCTCCGTTCCTCAAGGAAACACCTCAATCTGGGTAAACTCTGTCCACCCT